AAAGTTAGCAGGCGGCGCCTGTGGCTCAAAGGAGTAGGGCGCTGGCCCCATATGCCGGAGGTGGCGGGTTCAAACCCAGCCCCAGCCAAAAACTGGAAAAAAATTTCACCAGGAAAAAAAAAAAAAAGTTAGCATATGAACACTTGTTCTAGAAAATGTGAGGTCTAACGTAAGCCTCCCAAGTTGGTGTTCTACATACTCTGGCTACTGCCACCAACTCACTCCCCTGACTTCCCTGGTTTGACCTCGCCCAGCACTCCCCAGGCTGTGGCTCCCTGAGGGCTGGCCTCTGGAATGCCCCGGAAGAGAAGCATCCTTGCAGGGCTGCACAACATCCTCCCAGGCTAGGCAGCACCCCCTGAGCCACCGGCCTTTTGTTTCAGCCCTGGGATGAGTCAATGTGAGCAGGAAACACCCCCAGCACAGACCTGTTATGAGTCAGGGGAAGCAGGACCCAGGGCAGGAGGGAGTGGCCACCTAGAAGGTCACCAAAGGCCAAGCTGGGCTGAGGACAACAGGGAGAGAGGCAGTCTCCCCAAGAAGCAAAGTGGCAAAAACATTTCTACTCTCCATTACTCCAACATTCAGATGCTTTCATCTTCTCCTCACCCACACATGTGTCAGGCTCTCGAGACACCCACTTAGAAAAGCTTACTGAGGAAGAGTCCAACTTACTGCCTTAATCTTTTCATAATGAAAACTTGGTTAAGTGAAGCCTCCTTAGGTCACACACCTAATATCTAGCCTGGTTCTAGGGCCAGGACTAAAGTCCTCAAACAGCCTCACTTAACTTGATCTAAAAAACAAAAACCTAAAATCAGACTCAGCTGATTTTATTTTATTTTATTTTGGGAGGTGGGAAAGAAGGAGAAGCGAAAAATCAAACTGAGTTATACAGGACTACAGAGTACACTGGCGTCAGTAAACAGTACATTGGACCCCTAGAGCTCCATCAGTTAAACCCAGAGCAAAGTACTGAGTCTTAGTTCTTTCATCTACAAAGCGGAAATAATATCTTTCTTTTCTATTTTGAACGATTATGGGGAGAATAACATGAAATTATGCACATAAAAGTGCTTTGTAAACTGAAAGACATTATTATTTCATCTTTGATGTTCAGAGAAGAATCACTTTATTATAGTACAGACAATGTGCTTGCCCACAGCTGGGTACACTGTAGAAACATAGCAAATGTTTGTTGAGTTGTCTGGAGAAAAACTGGACCAATATCTTTGGAAAAATAAAGCAGAGACTCAGTATGGAAATGCCTGACACAACGATCTATTTCAGAGTTAAAAAATATACGCTAGGAAAAAGCAGAAGGCAGGAGAAATCTCATGTCTCATGTGTTATTTCATGAGCACAAGACAATCATCTTCAAGAAAATGAACACACACCGAGGAAAGGTAATGCTGTTGTTTCTATAAATTATCAATCATGTGGGGACTGCCAATGAAATGTTCTTGGTCACAAAGTTCAATTGCTTTTCTATCTTTCCCCAAATAGAGTAAGAATATAAATCCAGGACACCACCACAGAAAGTGACAAAATCGGCTCGGCGCCTATAGCTCAACCAGCTAAGGTGCCAGCCACGTACACCTAAGGTGCCGGTTCGAATCCCCAGCCCGGACCCGCCAAACAACAATGATGGCTGCAACCAAAAAAATAGCCGGGCGTTGTGGCGGGCGCCTGTGGTCCCAGCTACTTGGGAGGCGGAGGCAGGAGACTTGCTTGAGCCCAGGAGTTGGAGGTTGCTGTGAGCGTGATGCCATGGCACTCTACCCAGGGGGATAGCTTGAGGCTCTGCCTCAAAAAAAAAAAAAAGAAAGTGACAAGATCAATTCCATCCAACAAAGGTGTGGAATTCAAAGTTAAGCTTCCCATAAAATAACCAAGTTGCAGCTCAGCATCTGTAGCTCAGCAGCTAGGGCACTGGCCACATACAATGGGGCTGGTGGGTTCAAACCTGGCTGGGGCCTGCTAAATAATAATGACAACAACAACAACAACAACAACAAAAATAGCCAGGCTTTGTGCCAGGCACCTGTAGTCCCAGCTACTTGGGAGGCTGAGGCAAGAGAATCACTTAAGCCCAAGAGTTTGAAGTTGCTGTGAGCTATGACACTACAGCACTCTACCGAGGGTGACATAGTGAGAATCTTTCTCAAAAAAAAAAAAATCCAAGTTGGTCCAGAATGGTAGCTGATGCCTATAATCCTAGTACTTTGGGAGGCCAAGGAGGTAGGATCCAGACCACACTGAGCAAGAGTGAGACCCTGTCTCTATTAAAAATAGAAAAATTAGCCAAGTGCACTGTGGCAGGCACCTGTAGTCCAAGCTATTCAGGAGACTGAAGGAGAAAGATCACTTGAACCCAGGAGTTTGAAGTTGCTGTGAGCCAGGCTGACACCATGGCACTCTACCCTGGGTAAGAAAGTGAGATTCTGTCTCAAAACAAACAAACAAACAAAAACCTATATATCTCTATCTCCAGTTTGTCCTCTTAACTACAGAGAATTTTAGAGTTGCCCAAGGCAATATATTTAAATGCTTACTGTCTGCTTTGCGCCTGTAGCACAGTGGTTACGGCACTGGTCACATGCACCAAGGCTGGCAGGTTCAAACCCAGCCCAGGCCAGCTAAAACAACAATGACAACTGCACCAAAAAATAGCTTGGCATTGTGGCAATCTCCTGTAGTCCCAGCTACTTGGGAGGCTGAGGTAAGAAAATCACTTAAGCCCAAGAGTTTGAGGTTGCTGTGAGCTGTGATGCCATAGCACTCTAGTGAGGGTGACATAGTGAGACTCTGTCTCAAAAAAAAAAAAAAAATGCTTACAGTCAACTTGATGAAGAAAATACAGTGTCCTGCAGAAATCTTTTAGTTTCTAACATCATGAAGGAAGAAGAATTTTCTGATAATGGATACTTATCCCTTTGAGTATCAAAAGTCTTTTAAAAAAATGTTCTGGATATAAATCTTTTAAACTGATTTTTCATATCTCCTTGTTAAAGAGTCTACTTTAGCTTAATCTAGTCTTTAAATTTTATTTTATTTTTGAATTTTTCAAATTACTACCTGCTTTTTTTTAATTGCAATAGATTTAGGGGGTACAAGTACATGAATCTTTATACATGAATTGTATAATGCTAAATAAAGTAAGGGCATTTAGTATGGCCAGCACCAGAACAGTGTATACTATATCAGAAAGGTAGATTCTAATCCCTTACTTCCATCCCATTTTCTTCCATCTTAGTTTTCACTGTCCATTACGTTACTTTATTGATATTTTCTTTTTAAGGCAATCTATATAACCACATATTACCACCCACTTTATTTACAGCTATACCCTCAAGTATCAGGTATTTGTCCTGTCCATTGGTAACTTTAGACTGCTGTATTTTGTAACAGTTCTCCTGCCTCTTAGCTTCCAAATTTATCAGTCTTTCAAAACAGCTGGGAACCCTCATGTAGCCCATAATCTTGTCACTTATCCCCCACCCTCCCACCCTTTTTTTTTTTTTTTTTTTTGAGATAGTCTTCTCTGTCATCCTGGATGGAATACAGTAGTGTCAGCCTAACTCACAGAAACCTCAAACTCCTGGGCTCAAGCAATCCTGCTTTAGCCTCCTGAGTAGCTGGGACTACAGGCTCCCACCACCATGTGCAGCTAATTTTTCTATTTTTGGCAGCAATCTCACCCTTGCTGAGGCTACTCATGTACTCCTGACCTCAAGGGATCCTCCCACGTAAGCCTCCCAGGGTGCTGGTATGAGCCACTTCACCCGCCTGTTAGATCATGATACTTTGTCCATGGCTGGGGCTCCATCAAAGAAAGTCCATGAGCTACATGAGGGTACCCAGCTGTTTTGAAAGGGGGGACTTAAAGTCCAGGTTTCAGCCAAGTGGGGACCTTCTATACAAACTCCATTTCAGACACAATTATTCTTACCTCCGTAACTGTAGAAAGCATCTCTTTCATTTACTTCAATGACAGTTCCTAAGATATCTACCTGTTTTATTGGATGCCCGTTGTACAAAAATATACCTAAAATAAAAAAAAAAAAAACAAAGTCTATACATGATGTATGATGACATTGTCTGATTCACTTAATGTTAACTCGGGGTGGGAGGTTTTAAAAAATCAGTAGCATGCTGTTTGCTGAAATTTCAGACTTCAAAATCAGTCCTTAACAAATTGCAAGCCCCAACATATTCAGATTCCTTTCCTCAAAGATCTTAAGTAGAAATCTTGGCTCTAAAGAAACTTGTACTAATACAAAAAAGAGAAAACCACTGTTCCCCAACTAGATTTCATTAATTTGCTCTCCACTTGTGAAAATGAAATATACCTCCATGCAGAATGCTTACAAGGGTCCTGAAAAGTGTCATTATATGATGGGCCAAAACACAGTACTGTATTTTGAGCAACTAGAAAAAGGAAAGAGAAAGGAAACCATGAGAAAGGTTTCTTAGCTTTTTTTTTTTTTTTTTT